CACACATGCACATGTGTACACACAGGCCACACACACACGTCTGCCCAGGCTGGGTCAGAGAGGCACCTTCTCCATTATTCAAGATCCTATTTGGGAGGGAAATGGCCTCGATGAATAAAGTCTTTATTTCAGTCTAGGAGGTACATAGGGAACAGACGGACAGCCGGCACTTCGTTATTTTATGAATTTTTTGCTGAAGGCTCTGCACAGGGATTTAGCAGAGAACATCAGCAGGAGAAACTGAGGCGGGCCTCAGAGCCTCCTGCAAGAGCCCAGTCCCCAGGACAGTGCCGGTGCTGGCTGGCAGGGGCTGCCCTCGTGGGGCCTGAAGTGGGCCGTGGGATTCTGTCTCGAAGCCCCAGGCCAGGCTGATGTGGGAGAGGCCCTGTGGGTGTCCCTGGGTTCTATCTGACAGTGGCTCTATCTGCCTGGGAAGACTGGGTGGGCCCACAGGGCAGGCTGAGAGCTGCCTTAGTGTGTGTCTATTCCAGGCCACACATCATCTCATCATCATGAAAACCCCATGAGGTCAGCAACACCACCTCCATCTTACAGAGGAGGAAACTAAGTCCCTGAGGTTTTGGGACATGCCAGGGTCACACTGTATATGTGGTCTTCTGATTCCAAAGTTCAGGGGACCGTGGCCACGGGCTTCACCACTGTGGCTGTTTCTAGGACCAAGTCCCGGGAGAGGTCTCAGAAGTTGGGGGGGTCCCAAGCCCCCTAACCATGTCAGCAGTCTTCCAAGAGTGACCATTTATGAATGTCCTCCGGATGATCTGCTAGGCTAGGGAGCCCCGGTGTTTTTTCTCCCTGGTGCAGTCAGGAGAGGGTGGTGGCAGGAGCCCTGGGCGAGGCTCCTCCACCTGGCTGAGGGCCAGGATCCCACCAGAGAGCCCCACAGACCTGTCAGCGTCCCCTTGTGAGGTAGGTGGTAGACTCTCATCCAGGAGAAGGGAAGGGGAGGGAAGGGAAGCCCACCACAGCTGAGCTCAGGCAGGGCCGCACAGCTACCCAGGGGAGCCGGGGCCTGGGGACTGGCCCATTAGACTGTGGGGAAGGGCGGGGGGAGGGAGCAGTGACTGCCAGGCCATCTCAGGAATATTTGACACTTGTCTGTCTGGCAGAGGGTCTGGAGGAGCTGTCAGGGAATGTTTAATAGCCACCCCGGGCTCCTTGCTCTTGGTTTGGGAAGCTCTTGGTCACTAGAGGTGACCCTCACCCCGCGGTGCATCTGTTCTGGGAGATGACAGAGTGGAGGAGACTGGGGCAGGGAGGAGCCTCAAACATAAACTAAACCCCCTCCCGCTCCTGCCTGGAACCCGCAGTGGCTTCCCGTTGCACTTCAGATCAGCGCCTCCCGGCCAGACGCATCAGCCTCACCTCTGCTGCCCCCACCTCTCTCTGCTCCTCATATGCGTCGGGCTCATCCCCACACCACTGCCTTGGCACCTGCTGCTCCCTGCACTGGACACTTCTCCCCC